CCTGCCTGCGTGCGTCCAGCCCTGCTTCTGGCAGCTGGTTCTCCCCCTTTCCCCTCCCCCCATCTTCCCTGGCCAGCCCTGCTACCCCCAACCTCATGCCCCTGGCAGCCCTGCTTTCCCTGACCCCTTCCCAGCCAGTGGGTTCTTCCCCGCTTCTCCTCCCGATCTCCCCCGGGCAGTCCAACCTTGCTTCCGGCCGGTTCTCCCCTCCCCACCTCTTTTCCGCTGGCCGGCCGATTTCCCCACCTCCCATCTCCCTGGCCAGCCCCATTGCCTCCGTACAGCCCTGCTTCCAGTGGCAGGTTCTCCCCTCCTCCCGACCTCCCCAGGCCAGTTCCACTGCTCCCCAGCCTCTCTCCCCCAGCCCTGCTTCCTGGTGGCTAGTTCCCCCACCTGCACACACTTCCTCCCAGCCCAGCCCACTCCACTCCCCTCCCAGCCAGTCCTCCCCTCTACCCCCATCTGAGATCAAGAGTACATTTCTTTTAAACTCACCCTGTAACCCTAGCTATGCCTCTGCCGGGAGCCTGGAATATCTGGCTGCACACTCTGCCCAGCCTGGTCAAGGGCTTGGGGGAACCGGTGCCAAATGGGCACTCCAGGAGCCTGGAACACCCCTGCAGCCACGCTGAGGCCCAGTATTTTTTTCCTGTGGCCCAGTACTGGGCCGTGGCCCAAAGTTTGGAAAACGCTGCTCTAGTTAATGTAATTCTTTTACAAATGAAATTCATAGAAAATATGATTGCAACCCCCTCATACATGGTCATGCAGTGAGAAGAGGAAGTAATAAGCCTTCTCCCTTTGCGTGGCCCATGTATGGGTAACTCAGTAATAGCAATACAGCCCTGGGAACTACAGGTAATGTTCTGCACAGAAATGACTCACAAGAAAGGAGTTGGGGAGTGGTAGGGAATTAAACAGATGTTCTGCCCCCACAGTCTGCCAGGCATAGAGCTGTCTCTATGAGACAGAGGCCACACAGCAAAAGTACTTGTTTGTACAGGTTGGACCTCCCTGGTCCAGCACCTTGGGACCTAACCAGTCCCAAAGGAGGGAGTTTGCCAGATCAGGGGAGGTCAGCCCCTCTGCTGACAGACTCTGAGTTCTCCCAGGTTCTGTCAGCAGATTGCTGGCTGCTGGGGCTCCATGGCCCTGAGCCAGGGCTCTCTGGACCAGCAACATCTGCACTTACAGTAGCCAGTTTCAAATTACAAGATCCCTCTCAAACTACCTGTTTCAAGGCATAAGATAATCACCAGGTAAAGATAATTTTTGCAAAATTGCAAGCATCATGAAAAAGTTTATTATTTCTCCTGAAGTACAGAACATTAGCCTATCAGTGAAAGGATTAAGTTTTTTTTCTCCCCAGCCTGATAACTGCAGCAGATCAATTAGCATTACTTGGAGCTCTGTATGCCACCAAAATATTTGTATAGAAAATTGCATTCATTGTTTACATTGCAAGCTTTCACAGAACGAGAATTCACTGTGGATAAAGTGAAATTTTAAAAAATTAGTTCCCCTTCTATGGCTGCTAGTTACATTGCTAAAAAATAAAACAGCTACCTAATATTTCTTTGTTTTCAATTAAATTTTTGTAAAATATTTTAGCAATAACTCAACCCAGCATTTAGGCAGGTCATAATCTCAATCTCACTCACACACTCACACACTTTAATTCCATTATTCTCTCTTCTACCTGCCCCCAATCCAAAACACATTAACTCTATATTAAAAGAACACCAAAGCTTCAAAATCAAGTACATGAAAACAAGGAAAAGCCAGAATTTAGATTGCTCGTGCACTGTGAAAGTCTTTAATGAGGTCTCACACTAGTTTTTCCAATAGGATGAACAATCAACTCAGAAAATAGGGGTCTTTAGAATTCACAGTGAAGCTTGATCTGCAGGACTAGTTACATTTAACTAGATACAGGAGAATCTTTACTTAAGGGGATGCAGGTAATTTCTGGCCTATGGGTAAAAGGGACAAAGATAATCCCCAAACACTTTCTGAGAAGTGTCAGCACCTTCTCTATGTAATATTTTAGGACGGGCAGGAATAGGGGAAGAGATGGCTGATGTGGTCCACCCTGCATCCCTGAGAGGCTGTCTAATCCTGAGGATCCAGAACATTGTTTGAGGCTATTGCTATGGTAGTGGTAACACTGACCCGATTTTAGATTAAAATATTCATGTTCAGTTACGATTTTGGCATGCATACTGAAAACAAAATTGCTGACACAACAAAATAGACAGAAAAAACATAAGAATACAGCTGTTCTTCCAGGGTTTGAAATACTTTTGATAAACCACAGACAGGTTTTGTCACAAACCTTGCTGATTTACTGGGAACCTAAGGTCTTCCAGGAACCCTGCTCTGAGGGAACTGTGCCAAAATGACTGCCCTGGGAACCTCTATACTTCCTGACTCTAAGGAGAGCTAGCTCCTTGATTCTCACACTCATCCAATCCAGAGCAGTATTTCATGGGATTATGGGGGCCAACAGGATTGCCAGGCCTCTGGGCAGCGTGAGAGAGAGGATTGGGTCCGCACTTCTGGAAAGGCTGGGACCTCAGGCAGAAGGGGACAGGCTGGGGCAACCAATACTGCCCAGACTGTGCTGCAAACCCTCTCCCAACCATCTGAGCTGCGTCGCATGCTCCAAAGCACTGCACAGCACTCCAGCAGTGATTTAAAGGGCCCAGGGCTCCACCCTCTGCCAAAAATCAATGGGCCCAAGGGTAATTGTCACCTTCACACAATAAGCGGGCCTGCACAAGACAGAGAACAGGCGCTCCGTTGGCTATGTCCCCAACCCTCTCAAGCAACCACATGCAACAACTCCTGCAGTTACTTACACTGAAAAGGAAGTAGAAAAGAAATGAGCTTTCAGTATCTGGAGTCAAGGTTCCTTCACTACTGACCAATAGCAGGTGTCCACAGACCTTCAGAGAGTAGAAAACTCATTATAGCTTCAAACTCTTGGATGCCATACATATTTCTACCACTAAAAGTCTCAAATACAATTGAAGTCCTTTGCATAAGAGAATCGTGATTTACTCTGAGATGTCATTCTGTACTGGAAACTTTAGCTTAGAACTATCATGTGTCTCAAACAGAGTTCAACAGCTTGGCAGAGTGCATCAATAACCCATGAGATATTTTTTTTTTTTTTAAAGGACACAACAAGACCCTAGAGCCGTGGTCGCCAACAGGTCGAACGCGATCAACTGGTCGATCGCAAGGCGTCCTGTCCGCCCTGTCCCCATTTCCCTCCCACCCCTGAGAAGCCCCACTACCTACCTCAAGTGAAAATGGAGGTAGTATCTGCTTCCCAGTGATGGATAGAAGTCCTGCAACTCAGCGCCACTTCTGGCGATTCCGGAAGTGCGCTAGCTGCTCTGCCGGGTGTACTGCGGGAGGGAGCATTGGCTCCTGCACCGCACAGGAGGGGTGAGTCAGCCCCAGGGGAGGTGTGCGCAGGGCTTTCCAGTGTGCGCGCAGGGTCAGTCCCTGGGTAGGTACGCGTGGGGCTTCCCTGCGCTGCAGGGCTCGTTCCCGGGGCAGGCACGCGCTCGTGTCACTCGGGGGGGGAGGGGGGGGAAGGGGGATCCTGGGAGGAGGCAGATGCAGGGGACTCTCTGCCTCCACGGGCTCCTCCCTCCCCAGACCCCACTCCCCAGCCACAGAACGCTGTCCCCACTCCCGTCCTCAGCTGCAGAAACCTGTCCCCACTAGTACTCTGTCCACTGCTGCAGAACCCTGTCCTCTGCCCTCCCAGAACCCTGTTCCCTCTTCCCTGTCCCCAGCTGCAGAACTCTGTCCCCACAAAATGTATAATTATAAATGCTTCATTTTAGATTTAAATATCATGAATAAAAAACAGACCATTTATTTCATAACTATAAAAACATTTTAATATTATATATCACATAATTTAAAAATAAACTGTTTATCAGAGTGTGTAAGTAAGGGCTGGGGATAGCAAGTGACGGACAGGAGGATAATAGAGGGCGAGGCTTCAAGGAAGGGGCGGGGCGGTAGATCTTTGCCTATTCTGAGATTTAAAAAGTTATCTTGGGTGTAAAAAGGTTGGAGACCACTACCCTAGAAGACCTGGAAAACAGGAACTCAATTGTAAATGATTTTCCTGCTACATGTTGAAAAACAACAGTAAATTAAACCAGAAGATCATGGATATTTTAAAACATGACTACATAGTTTATAAAACAAAGGATAGATTCCCTTTGCCTCTCCACATGAGAATTTTTTTTCACTAGATGTATAGACCTCCAAGTAATTAATATCACGGCTGAAGTGTCTAAAATCTTAGAATAGCTAAGCTTTCAGGAGCTGAGCACACAGGACCACATCCTGATTTAGGATATAAAAAAAAAAATCCTGGTTTGGAGTTACCAGATGTGATAAGACATTCAGCTTGCTTTTGGATTGTCCAGTACCATCCCCTACAGCAACAAGAACCGGTTTTGACTTGGTCAACAAGGTGCTGTATGATTTATGCAATCTTTGTCTTGGCGCTCCAGGGAGTAGCCATACAGGTCTATCGCCAACTAGCCGAGCCTGCCTGCAAGCATTCTTACTTTCCGCTTTCGTACACAACAGAGAAAAAACCTGTTCTTTCTAGACTGTTTGAATAAAATCTTGCGGGTCACTTGTGCGAGCTGGTATCATCCAGTCATGGAGCCTGGAGGAAGGGGCTTAAGTGACACTGTGTGGACTCACATCATGCACGGTAGATGCTGAAGTTGTTCCTATAATTAAGAATAAAGGGATTTGACTTCCATTTTAATAGTACATTTTTCATTAACTCTTACTAAGTCAGAATATTTTGGTGGGAGTCCTTCAAGCAGTTGTGCTAGAGAGCCAGAAGTCTGATGCTCAAAGACTGATGTCATTAGAGTTAGAAAAATTGTATTTGGTCATTTAATCCACTTGCCTCCTCACTTAAAAATTCAGCATTGTTTGAAAAAAATGTAACTACAATATATATTATCCAATGCCTTCTCCATAACAATATTTAGATCACCCATGATACTTTTGAACAGCACTTTAAAACTGACAAGACACAAGTATTTGCAAAAAGCAGAAATTCATCACTGTGGTCACTGAGGATTTTGTGAAAACAAACAGGGGCACCAGACCAAAAGAAAAGTACCTTAAACTTTCCAATCTTCTTTCAAGCAGTGCTCAAATTATTCCCAATTCATTCTTTTAACTTCTCTAAGAAAAGAGTTAGCTTTCTAAAATTTTTTGGAATCATGAAAGAGCAGTAGACTGTAACTTCTTTATGTATGGGGGAGTGCACTGGAAACTTATTTCCCCAGCACCAAGATCAGATACTATTTAACTTATTTAACGGAGGAGGGGGGGGGGCGCGAAGAGAGGGCGAGGAGCAGGCTTCAGCCTGACACCTGCCAGGCTGCAACTTTGAGACAAGGGCCAAAAGGTGCAAGGGTCACAGGGAAGTGTCCCACACAACTGGGGCAGGCAAAGGGAGAGAAAGAGGGCAAGAAATGGCTGCTGCCAGAGGATTCCTGGGTCAGGAACCAGAGTAGCGGGAAGGCCTGGTTCTCCTTCCTTGCCACACCACACCTTGCCACATGGAGTGTGGCTTTCAGACTACAGTTTGCCCTGAGGAAAGAAGCTAGACTTTGGGGCAGCCGTTGGCCACTACAGCAGGTATGAGTTCAGAAGGCAATGCACTACAACAAACTAATTCCTGATGTGACGAGCAGGAGGCGCCATAGCAGTGAGTCGGTCCTGTAACAACCCACTTTAACTTTGTAAATAACTCTTTCTTCCTTTTCCTATTTAATAAAGCTTTAGATGACTTATTATAGGATTGGTTACAAACATCTTTGGTGTGAGATCTGAAGCGTCATAGACCTGGGGTAAGCCACAGGACAGGGAATAACCTGATTTATGGTGTAAGGAACCATTACCACAAAGATGGGTGTACCTAGGGGACAAGACGGATCAGAATACCCCAGGGGACTGTCTGTGACTCCACGTCAAGGCTGCAATAGCAACTAAGGAATTTACATTTGATAACTGGTTGCTGAAATCTAGGTATAGAATTCTCAACTTGAGGTTTCTACCCTGGTTCTTAACAGTCTGCCCTGAGGTAGTAGGATTATTTCTCAATTTCTACATGAAATTGAAACAGCTGGCTTGAGACAAGTGTACCCATACCATTTTCTGTAGCTGTGACCCTATTCTTCCAGCAATCAGTACCCTCTGATGCTCACTCTTCTCCAGTTCAGGTACAATACATTGAGAATTGGAGGACAGTGAGCAGTGCAAACCGTTAAGAACGAGGGTAGAAACTTCACGTTCTCAATGTACCACCATCTACAGGATGCCCCTCCCCTACTGGCCTTTTCAATTCTACTAGTTTTCTCATTTCCCCTCTCCATATGTACATTTTCTGATTCTGCCTCTTCTCTCCAATGATGTTTCAGGTTCCTAGCCCCTAATAATGCCCCCAACACTCAAGTTCCTCCAAAACTAGAGCCAACTTCAAGTGATTGTACTTGATTAAATAAAACCTCTTGTTCTAAAATCCCCAGTTTACCTTAGCAATAATACCCTCGTCATTAACATTTTTAAAATTCAAAATTGTATATAAACATGCTTCTGCACACACCTACTAGATCAGGACCAGCACATTAGTTAGGCAGCTGAATGCTTATCTTTCCCTGATTCATGAATCATTGTGTGGCTCAAGTGGGAGACAGGAGTCCAAACACCCAGAGGGAGATAGAAATGAGCACACTCAGAGAAAGAAAGAAACAGGCAACTAGAGAACTTTTACTGAAACATTGTAGGCAGAGTGAGTTTAGGCATCTTCAGGTTCCCGTGGGAGTTTTCTGAATCACAGTAGAGTCTACGTCTGGAATTAGCCGTCCAAGTCTGAAGTTTAGGCACCAAGGCACTTTTGTGAATCCAGGCCAATGAGACTATTCAAGCACGTGCATAATATTACATAGCTAAGTCTTGAGGGATCAAGCTCTTCAATGGCATATAAAATCTGCAGTTCAGTGGTGATTGAAATTATAAAGAGTTTACCAACAGTATAATCACTTAAAATATGAAAAAGTAAACCCTTTGTGACACCAAGGCCTAGACTAACACTAACCAGCAAAAGGCTACTGCCCTTTAAGAGCAGCTCCTGTCTCAGACCTGACAAGTTCACTAAACCTAATACACCATTTTCTATTTGAATCTCTTCTTTTGTAAAATAAGATTATTTTTCTGTACTACCCTCTAACTGACGAGCTGTGCAGAATACAGGAGCAGTGGACTAAGGTAAAACTTGTAAACTACATTACACTGCTTTTTTGGGGTCAGAGAAATCCAAAATCCCTCTAAGTATCCACTGGTCAGGGGCCTGATACGAAAGGGGGATACTGTTAAGGGACTGGGACACATCTACTGTCAATCTGCAGGGCAAAGGCAGGGCTGGTATAGCTCACAAGAGAGTGGATGAATGGCAGATATGTCTCAGACACCACAAGCCTAACTCCCACAGAGAAAGCAAGCATCACACCCTCCAATTTTGCTATGCTGGTAAAAAATGTACATCTTATACAGTTTGTTTTCGTTACATTTGCTCAAAATATGTTCAAATGGCACTGAATATACATATTTGACAATTACAAAGTATATTCATCAGTCTCAGAGGCAATGACACAAAATATACTATGAAAACAAACATATTTGATTATTTCCCATTACCTATGTGTAGTAGGGATGTTAAATTTCAAGTAATTGACTAATCAAATAGTCGAGGCAATTTGCATCGACTATTCAATAGGGCACCTCCTCCTTTGAAGAGTAGCAACAGACCTAGAGCTGTTACTACACTTCAAAGGGGAAAGCACTGCAAGGAACACGGGGACAGAAGGTCAGTCCCCTACTGCCC